AGTAAGCGTGCTTGCGCACTTTGTCGAGCGTCTTAGTAACTCCGACATGAGCGGCAAGTACATCCTTATGACAGTGATGTAGTACCGTCGATATGAAAGGCAGGGGAATCACAGGAACTTCAAGAGTAGACGCCGGTCCAGCGCGAGCCTTCAGGTGTACGCGACGCATGAGTACTCCGTTCTTTACCGAGTAGTTAGGCGCCATCAGCAGGATTTTGGTGCGCATTTGAGGGTCCAGAGCTAGAGCTCCATCGCTAAGGAACGCTATCATAGCTTGGATCCAGGGAGTCCTTTTCTGTTCTTCCACGAAGCGAGTTTGTTGTAACCCGAACACATCAACGGGGGACACTAGGAGTTGGTCGGTAACCTCTTCTTCGTCGGGGAACGGCTCGGGTCTAGCTTCGCCAGCGTCCTCGGGCAAGGTCCCTGAAGGGAGCATAGTCGAGTCGAGAGTCGTAGTCTCCCCGACTTCGACAGTACAAGGAGGGGGCTCGTCAGCATCGTTGAGTAGCTCCGCCATAGAGATAGCATTGATGGTTTGGGTATACAGCCTGGACAGACCATCCACATGACCCATCGAAGTACCAGGCTTGTGGAACACCTTGAAACGTAATTGAGACAACTCCATGGCCCACCTAGCCAGCTTAGCGTTGCTCGTACGATTAGTTTCGTTGAATACCCACGTCAAAGCTTTGTGGTCCGTGTATAGGTCGAACTCGCAACGGTCCAGGTAGCAGCGGAACTTGCGCGTGGCCCAAACGATACCCCAGCACTCGATCTCCGACGTACCGTCCTCCTTATGGACCCAGTTCTTCTCGGAGCCAACTAGTAGCTTGCTCGCATAGGCCACGACTCTCTCGCGCCCCTCCACGGTTTGCATCAAGCATGCCCCTACAGCGAGCTTAGACGAGTCCACATATAGAAGGAAGCGCTTCGAAAAGTCGGGATACACCAGGATGGGAGGTTCCACCAGCTTACGCTTTAGTTGCAGGAAAGCGGCCTCGCAGTCGTCGCTCCAGAAGAATCGGGCCCCTTTCATCTTAAGCCGTTCGATTGGGGCCGATATGGCTGCGTAT